TCAATCATAAAATAATTTAAAAATTATATTATATTATAAATATATAATATTTATATTTATATAATATAAAGATACAAATATTTTTATAAAGATACATTAAAAAAAATCAAACATTCAATTTTCCAAAATTCAATCATTATATCTCCTATTAACAATATTGATAATTAATGATTATTTATAATGATATTTATAATATTTTTATATATTATTAATATATTATTAATTTAAAACTTAACAAAATTTTCTGCATTCATTATGACTTTATGCAATCAATATGAAGACTTATATTCTCTAATAATATTCATAATAATTATCACTAATTAAATTATAATATATCATTAATTAAATGAAAAAAGAGAAGAAAATCGAATCGATTTAATTATATTAAATTAAATAAATATTTAATTTATCAAAATTTATTGCATTTTTTCGAAGTCACGTTGTATATAACTATGAAAATTTACACACTTTGGTTAACAATAGCGATTCGACAACAGCTGAAAGATTGTTTGCGGTGAAAGCTTGGTTAAAATATCGAGTAAAATAGTGAGGCAAATTATGAGCGACGTATATTTTCAACGGGGAGAATCCCATGAATATCTGAGGCTGTTGACTGACAAGACGTCTTACAAGTTCTGTCTTGTTATTTTACCTCACTAAATACCTGCCATTTTCTTCACATATACGCACTCTTATAAAAGTAAACGGCATTACAATTTCTGATAAATATCAATTCTGAAAAAAATCTGATTTTAAATTATGAAGAAAAACTTAATTATTTTTAACAACGTAAGTAAAATTGAAATCTAACAATATAATTGAAATTAATCAATTTGATTTCTGAATATTTCATTTTGAACTAACATATAAAACTATTTATGTTATAAGATAATATAATAAGATATATATATATATATAATATATATAATAAGATAAATATTATAAGATACAAAAAATAGTTTCATAAATTTAATTCACAATATTATATTATTTGTTATTTAATTATCAATGATAATTTTAATAATATTAATTTGATATTTTGATTAATAATATGTGAATAAATTATATGTAAAATTTAAGAAAATTTAATTCTATATTTTCTTCATTTATAATATTTATAATTATTAAGTTGTGTCATTTCTATAAAGAAGAAAATGAAAAGTTTCTGGTCTCACATTATATTAAAATAATGACAGAAATAAATATGTAAGAGTCTCTAATTATAGATAAAAAAAGAGAAATTATATACCGGAAATAAATATCAAATGATACTGATTACAGAATATGTTATACCATTTCCGGTATTTTTGTGTCTCTAAATCTAATTATTTTCATTGTATTCTATCAAAAAAGATTCTCACACGACGATAGTAAATTCAGAGAAAGTGCAATAATTCGGCCCTGGAAAACATAACTATGATTCGCATATTCTCACGCATCGTTTCATATTCATCTTGTTAATTACAAGATCAAAGTTATTGTTATAGCCATTCTTCTTTTCTTTTTAACTCACGATAATTTCAGGAGTAAATCATATATAATATATTCACATGCTATAAATAATATATAAAAGATATCAATAATTTAAGAGATGATTCTACAAGCTAAAATAAAACGAAAACCAAGAATAAAAAAATAAAATTTGCCAAAGAAATCATAATACAAATTAATTTCACAATTATTTTTTTTAATTATTTGATTTACAAATCAGCAATTCTAATATTAAAATTACAAATTACATTTAATCTTACATAAATAATTTAATCCAAATATATAATAATTTATGTAAAAAAAAATGTGTAAATAACGAAGAATAAAACAGATGTAACGTAAAACCAATTAAAATTAAATTAAAATTATATAATATAATTAAAATTATATTATATTATCGAAGATTAATAAACAGCAATAAACTTTGACATTCATCAATGGTAAAACATATGAATGTATCATTCATATTTCTGTACAAGTGATGATTTATGATAGAATCTATTATTTATTGAGATTCATTATACAATGAAAGGCAAGGAAAATACAATTTAATTTTAATTTATTATAGATCTCTTTATTTATTCCATTGATTGATTAATAGATGAGATATTATATTTATGAATTAATGAGAAGAAAAAGATACTAAAAATATTTTTTTCATATTAGTTAAAGATACAAAATTTAAATCTAAATTATTTTTTCTTTAACAAATATAATGTGATTTTAAACAAAAAATATTGATTTTCTTTTTTTGAATACTTTCTTCTTTCCTTTTTTATTAAAAAATCAAAAAATTAAAAAAAATTGAGAATATCTCAATTTCTTTATAAAAAATATATATTAAAATAATAAAAATAAATAAACACACAAACAATATTTAATTAAAAATATAAATTTTTCTTTCCAATTTCTATTATTTTTAATAGTT